CAAGAGCATGCGATTCTTCTTGTCGACGATTTCTTCTCGATGCCTGGAAAACTCAAGAGAAGTTCTAAAGCTTCGAAATGTCCGTCACGAGCTACCCGATCAATGCTGTACGTGATGAGTTGTTAGTGGCATTGACATCAATGGATGGATCGAAAGAAGAAGTCGCAGAACACATGTGGTGACCATTAATTGAATCTCAACAATATCATTACGCAGTTCTTCTCCACCACAAACAGTGCGTTGAGTGTCTTCTGAACGACAAAGATGTCAATCCACAACTTCCTGATGATTCTAGTTTCACACCTCTTCACATCGCTGCATCTAATGATTTCTCAGACTTAATCCGTCTTTTCGCCGATCGAGATGACGTTGACTTGAACTGCGTCGACTCAATCCAGTGGACACCTCTCCATGTTGCCGCTAAATGCGGCTCAACTAGTTTCGTCGAAGAGTTGCTTCAACACGAAAATGTCGATGTCAACCGTCAGAACTTGATGAAGCGAACTCCTATTTTCAACGCTATTGAAAACGAAAAAATCGAAGTTGTCAAAGTTCTCCTTTCTCGTGAAGATCTCGATTTGAGTGTTGTTGACAGCGAAGGACACACAGCTAAAGATGTCGCACTCCAGACAAAGAACGAAGATATTATTAATCTTCTTTTAAATAAATGAGTTTTTTTATTTTTTTTTGTTTGTAAAAAAATTATTTTTAATAATAAAAAACGATAATAATAAATCCTTGAAAAATTAACGCACTAAAGGAAAATGATAAATGATGTTACGTATTGGAAGCATATTTATTCTGCTTTACAGAAATATGTTGAAAAGTGAGTAAAGTTACTGATCCTAGTGAATGATATTACAGAAATTGAATGCGGAAATTTAATAGCGAGAGAATAGATTGAATGACAAAAATGCATCTTGAGTGTCTTTAATGTAATGACAAATGTTCTTAAGCACTGCGTATCTGACTTTAATTCTGACAAATGGCGTGAAGTCATTGAAAATTACCTTAAACATCTGAATCGAAGGACATCAGGTGTAAGTGCACTCTTAAGAAAAATTTTCCACTTCAAGATAACAATGATATAATAGAATTGAATAAGAAATCGTTAAATTTATTATCCAACATCTCCCAAGATACAATGTCCAATCATTTGTAAACGAAGAATATTACAAAATATCATCGAAATAACAATAATTCTTTTTGCTATAGTTTTATTCTTTCTGTCATAGCAAATTTCTATTATAATATTGAACTCTTATTTTGTTTTTAATATGCCTTACAAAGAAAACCTATTTCGAAATTAAGAGCCATGTTCCCGATATTATTGCATTACTATATCAGTACTAATTATTTAAATCACTGTAACAAATACGAACTCTTTGAAAATTAAATTGAGAAATCAAGCCGCATCATCTTTTGAATATAAAGTTTTTCATATTTCAATTGATATTAAGGCTCCGGTCCTGCATGATTACTGCATATAGTTAGGACGAGTGTCTAATAAGGAGTAAAAATATATAGATTGCACATATACCAATATTTTGTAAAAATTTTTTAAAAAATTTTCGAATTTGACTATATTATCGTTTTAAACATGATATATACTAACTTTACTATTTGATATATGATAAATAATGATATTTTAAAAATTGAAAATTTGGATTTTTAAATTTGCAAAGTATATAGTATAGTAAATTCATAAATGAGTATAATGTGCCCAATTATAACAATTTTCAATCATTTGATAATTCTATGACTATGGATTTTTGTACTTCTAATTAAAATAATGTCACTTTTTAATATATTGAGTTTAAGGTTTAAATTTAATTTAAAAAATCGATTTGTTTATACATATTGGAAAGGAATTTTTTTGATAATATCTTTTGTATATTAATACATTATGACTTATAGTATGTCACCATAATATAAGTTCAAATTTTTATCATGCACATCAATATAAAATTGTAATTCAAAAAACACCTACTTCTATCGTCAAAAATACTCTCAATTTGAAAAAATACATCAAAAATATCAAATTTGCAAACCTAATTCTTCGAAATACCGAAGAAGGTAGAATATACAAATAGTGTCGACAGAAACTATATAATTTTCTTTACAAATTGTCGAAGGGGAACTGAGAGTTTTTTCTTATACGTTGAATTATAAATCAAATTATTGAATGGATTTTTGGAAAATTGAATACTCAATTATCGAAAAACCGTTTTGACAAAAAGTGATTAATACAATATTGTTGCCTATATTAAGTAATTATCATATATGATTTTTATTATCATATCAATTAATCGTGCATGAAGTTATTCTCGACGCAAAAATCGTTTTTTATAGGGGTCTTGCAAATCTAATTCTTCTTTCATATATTTTTTTAGAAGCAAACTCACTATATCAAAATAAACTTTAGTTGCATTCTAACAATTTGTCGAAGGGGAACTGAGAGTTTTTTCTTTATTATCAAGATATGACAAAAAATGTTAATATACAATTTTTAATATTCGACATATATAGCGATAATGTAACATTATATGATTTTATTATATTATGATAGCATATATAAACCTTATCATATTATTAAAACTTTCACAAATCAAAAATATCTAGATTCTGTCAAAAAGTGATTTGTCAGATTTTTTCAAAAAAACAAATTACTCATCTAGAAGAGATTGTAAATCAAGTTTACTAATAACAATATAATGTATCACTAATATGCTATAAAATGTCGTGGACTTTTTTGATTATAAATAGTTTTACCGGTCAAAGTTGAAATTTGTCAAAATACCGAATTCTCAGATAAGATGAACTATAATAGTAATACTCAGTTTAAATATACTATACTATAGTGTATTACATAATGATATTATGTACTAAAATAAAAGTATCAAAAACTCATATTGGTGGAGATATTAAAACTTTTAAAATTGAGAGGGTGGGACCGGAGCCTTAAACAATTGATGAATGCTTTCGTTAATAATGGTCTTTAATTACAATTTTTTGATTATATAAATTCATAAATCATGAATATTAACGCCTTCGTCTAAAGGAAAATTGATGATATAAATCAAAAGCAGATCTCATAGGCTTTTTATCTAAAATAGGAAGCTCTGTTTCACACAGATATGATGAAAAGTGTGAAAGATTATGAATAGAATATATATTTTGAACATTATTTGTTGTAACTGATCCTTTTTTTACCTATTATTCTGTCACAGAAAGAATCTTTAACTGTAATTGAACCAGAATATTGATGAAAAAATTCTAATCCTGATCCTGTGTTTCCAAGAAATGAACAGTTTTCAATATGAACAGTTGATGTCCATGCATAGAATGTTCCCAAATCAGATTTTTTGTGTTCATTATTCAAAACATTACAAAAATTAAAATTATAGTTACCCCAACTTAATTTAAAAATATTATAATTTGATGTTGTGTTATAAAATGATGAATATGTTACATTACTTAGACTATTTGGATATCTTAGAAGTATTCCTGAGTCCCAGGCTGCTTCACAGAAACTTGTGTTGATTGATTTAACTTCAATATTTCCATACCAAAGATAATTTGTAGAAAATTTTTCTAAATTTCCGCATTCATAAAAAGAACTTTCATAAAGATAATTTTTATTATTTGATTCACCAACTAATTCAACATATGAATGATGTCCTTCTTGAGAGTTTGTTTTTGATTTGTAGCCACATGTTCGGTATTGGACAATCGAACTATCACAGGAAAAGTAGAGAGATCCACCTTCCGTATTACTGCTGCAGTCATTAAATGAACAATCAGAGTTAAGAAACTTTTTCTCCCAAGAATTAAAATAAATGGCACTATTAGTTGTAATGGTGATGAATATACAGTTATATAAGAAGCATTCATTTTTTGTTGATCTTGCTTGAACGTTTGTACCTTGAATTGGTTCTGAATTAGGTGGAGTATTGTAAAAGAGTTCCCAAACATTATTAGGTGATTGATCAAAGTGTAAATTATTCATAGTTGATGTGTGTTTTGATACTGTTATCTGAAAATCGTGATTGAATTTCATTGTTTTCATCAAAAAAATGAATCGGCATTATTTGACATTTCAATGATGTAAATGTCAAATAATGCCGATTCATTTGAATCTTATATTCAAGTTATGAAATTTTGATTCTTTTAGCTGTCATCAGCATTTTAACAGCTAGTGCATGGAAACAATGATGTAAATCATTCTAATCTTATATAAAAACATCGATTTTGCTGATTAAATTTTTGGATTTCGTAATAAAATGATCAATATTGTAAATAATTAAAGCTATTGTACTTACACATGATTTGTATATTATAAAATGTATGAAATATCGACTTAATTCGCTTGAAAATTTGAAATAGGGAGAATCTTTATATAAAACGCCTAATATCTAACAATTATTACATTAAATGAATACTTAAATTTGAGTAATCGATGATTTATATGAATTCTCTGGTCTGAATAAAGAATATCGAAAATTAGTTTGATTTTGGGGTTGTTTTGATAGTATTGTCAAATGTAATGATGTAAAAACATGAATTTATTAGTAAATACATGCTCGTGTTTGAGTAAAAATAGATATTTGTTGTTGTGAAATAAGTATTTGATTTCTTGTAAATCTTGAATGAAAACAATAAGTTCGTATCAATGGGAAAATCGAATATGTAGCTATTTAATTTGTATCAAAAGAATTTTTTAATGAGAATTTAAATTTCGAAGAAATTTGTTATGTATCGTTGAGTTTTGTAATTAAAACTGATATGTTAATGATGTGATTTGCTTTTTTAAAACATTTATTAGTCTTGATGAAATAATTTTTCTTTTGGTTAAACATTTCTTCTGAGTTTGCTAATAAAGACGGAGTCCTTTGTGAATGTGACATAGGCGCCCGAGAACCGTATGCACAAAAACTCTTATTGGGTGTCTTGTCTTTAGATATTCTTTCAAAAATATGCCAAATTTGATTGATGATTTCTAAAAAAGTAATCTAATCATCTGATGCCATTAATTGTATTTAGAAAAAAAATTCGTTCTTTTAATTTTTTAAGAGTATCACAGCAGATGATTAACTTTCCTTGATTTACGATACAACTAATTCACCAAATGCAGAAGTGCAATCGAATACAAACAATCGAATCTCCTAATTGATGAATCAAATAGTCCATTTTTCATTGAATTATTTAATCAAATCGTCTCTAATCATAGCAATCCTCCAAAATCAATCAGTAGTACACATGTTATCTTTGATCAATTCTTACGTTATAAAGAGAAGAGCACATTTATATGATCTCAAGTATATTTTTGATTTTTTTTTACAAATCTTGTCAATAAGACATTTGAAGTTGTTACCGATACAGTTACATAATTTTGAGATACAAATTCACCGCGCAATATTATTTTATTAAACTAAAACAGAGATAATTTTCTAAAAATTTAAATCATACATTGATCAGTACCTTGTAGAAGATACACATATTGATTTCAAATTCGTATGCATTGAAATGTTCGACGACATTTACACTGTTCGTTTTGAACCTATAATTATTCCATTTATAGTTGAAATGACAAAAATTTACCACATCAAGATAAGCGATGATACAATCGAATTGATCTCACATTTCAGCATGATACAAATATCAATAATAT